CTCAGAGACCCTATACAGGGTCACTATGAGTTGGAACCCACTACACAGCGCTCAACAACAATGATGTATTCAAGGTTTATTCATGCTGTGACATGTTGGTGCATTCTTTTAATGAAAAATGAATTCTTTCATTAAGAAACCAAATAGTTTTTACTTCTCAAACAAATTCCTCTTAGTTTCTGCAGGTGTTGGCTGCCTTTTTGTGTCACACTAGTTGATAGATACGCTGTCACTAAGTATCATTCCCTCATAAACACCCTGCAAATGCCACCTTGAAGTCTTTACTCATACTGTTATCTCTCTGCCCCATCCTCCAGAGACCACTCATCCTCACCACCCACTGGTCTGCTAGAAGATCGGCTGTAGGTACTGCTGCTATGGGACAACTGATGGCTTCTGATTCCATGTCTTAGCTCAGATACCAAGAGTTAGATGTCCTTCCCATTTCTGACTGGACAAAACTACAATAAACCAGTGTAATGTTCCTAATGATTCTCTTCTCTCATCATTGAGTGCAAAGGAGAAAGTTGCAGGGACCAGAGAGGTTCTAGTAGACCAGGGAGGGCACAGAAGTAGGGTATTTGGGACCTCTTTTGCTCTCACTTCTACCTGATGAATGATGAAAACAGGTTTTTCTGCTCCCCTTGGGATCACTCACCTGACCATCAATCAAAAGTTTACTGTGCTGGTGGTGGTTATGTGCTGTGGAGTCGGTTCCAACTCATAGCAACCCTGTACAGGGTTTCCAAGACTATAAATCTTTATGGGACCAGAAAGCCTCATCTTTCTCCCACGGAACAGCTGGTAGTTTCAAACTGCTGACCTTGAGGTTCACAGCCTGATTCGTAACCACTATGCTACAGGTACACAAACATATATTGCACTGACCTCTGACATTAATGTGAACTTTATTTTGAATTTTTAAAAATATTAAAATATAGATAAAGGAACTAAAATCTTAATCAATTGATGATTTTCTTTGTTATCTTCTCTGTGCACTAACTTCCTTTTAAAGAACTTGCAGCTAGTTCTCTAAATCATAAGCAATTTCAATCAGCCAAAAGATGCTTGAAAAACGATGAACAAAGTAGAAGGACTCACACTTATCTATATCAAATTCTACTATGATGCTACAGTAATCAAAACAGTATAGTACTGATATAAAGAAAAGACATATACGCACATGGAATAAAACTTAGAATTAACAAATAAATCTGTACATCTATGGCTAATTGATTTTCAACAAGGATGAAAATAGGGAAAGAATAATCTCTTCAATATATGGTGCTGAGATAACTAGATCTCCAAATACAAAAGAATGAATTGGACTCAACCTCACACCATATATAAAACTGAACTTATTTTAGATCAGCTCTTATTTTAGATCACTGAGTGTATCGGTGATCTTAATATATAACCTATAAAACTCTCAGAAGAAACATAGAGGTAAAACTTTAAGACCTTGTTTTTGACAAATTTAGATATGACACCAAAATTATAAGCAACAAAAGAAAAATAGATAAATTGAGCTTCATCGAAATGAAAATGTGTGTGCATTAAAAGCTGTCATCAACAAAGTAAAGACACAATCTACATAACAGGAGAAAATATTTGGGAATCATATCTGCAGAATTTATAAAGATCTCCTACAACTCAACAACAACAACAAATTCAGTTTAAAAATTGGCAAAGAACTTAGGTATTTCTCCAAAGAAGATATGTAAATTACCAATAAGCACATGAAAAGATGCTCAACATCATTAGTCAATACAGAAATGAAATCAAAACCACAATGCAATACCACCTCACACCTACGAGAAAAGCAGAAATCAACAAGTATTGGCTAGCTTGTAGAATGAACATGGTGCAGACACATTGGAAAATAGTTAGATGATTTCCTCAAAAAGTTAAATACAGAATTGCCATACTACCCACGGTTTCCACTCCTAGGTATATATCCAAGAGAATTAAAAGCAGGAACTCAAACATATACTTGTGAACCAATCGGTGTTCATTGCAGCGTTATTTACAATAACCAAAAGGTGGAAAAACCCAAGAGTTCATCAATAGAAAAATGGATAAACAAAATGTAGTATATACATACAATGGAATATTTTTTGGTAACAAGGAGAAATTAAGTTCTAATATGTGATATAGCATAGATGAACCTAGAAAACATTATGCTAAATGTCATAAGTCAGACACAAAAAGCCAAATACTGTATGATCCCACTTACATGAAAAACTCTAGACTAGGTAAAGGGCTAGAGACCAACGCCTATTAGTGGTTTATTAGAGACTGAAATAAGGAGGGAAGCAGGGTGGTTATTTCTGAATGAGTACTGAGTTTCTATTTTTGTTTTTATTTTTTAAGTGCCACTGAGTCCGTTTCAACACATAACAACCCTGTATAGGTTTTCCAAAGAGCAACTGGTGGGTTTGAACTGCCAACATTGTGGTTAACAGTCCAGTGCTTACCCTTCAGCACCACACTGAAAAGCTTTGGGTATGGGTAGTGGTGATGGTAACTAATGTCATGGATTCTACACCTTAAAGTGGTATGTTGGCAAACTTTTTGTTATATATATTTTGCCACAATAAAAATTCTAAGATAATGTTGACTTAAATATGCACATTATAAAAGGGCACAAAACACTAATTCTAATCACATAAAGAACAAAAATAGAGATATCCAGACAATATATTTAATAGACACACACATATGCATATGTGGTAGAATTATAAAGAAAACTAAGGAAATGGTACACAGTACTCAGAAAAGTGATTCTTCTAGTCGGGGAGGAAAAAAGTATGTCTGATTGTATTGATATAAAATCTAATCTGAGTATTGGTAAAATGAGTATTCATATTCTTACTTTTTTTAAAAGAGCAAGTGTATGTTTTACATACTTTTTATATTTATGATATATTTGTAGCAAATATCTAAAAGATACCCAAAGCACCACCCTGGGTCATCTGTAGATTCTACATCTTGGTCCCATGTCTGCTTCCTGAGGTCATAGAAAACAAGAATACTTTTGAAGTATTTGAAGACAACAGTTGTGACCTTTGATACATTTTTTTCTTTCTCTTCCTTCTTTTCTGGAACATACCATGCTTCATCCATGACAACTGGGCTCTAATTAGGAAATGTGGTCTTCATGACAGGGAAGGGCCGTGCTAAGAGTTAGGGATAGGGAAGATGATTCCAACTTGCACCTACCCAAAGGCAAAAACACCAGCAGCTATGCCCTCATGGATCCAGCCACTTGGTCACTCTGAATATAATCATCTCTGATACTGGTGAGACTCAAGGGGCCACAGCCTACAGAAGACAACAGAAGTTTGGACAATTGCCCATCTTGTCTCTAAGTAAGAGGTCTGGGATTGGATCCCAGGGGACATTTCATATGAAAAGCCAACAGTTCCTTCTGGATCCTGTGCCTCAAGTCAGGTACTACCAGTCCTCAGTCTTCAGTCTTCAATCTATTCTGCTGCTCCAGAGAGGCAATGTCTCTGTGGTTCCAACTATGTCTTTTTGGGGAGCCAAAGAGACAGCAAATAAATCTCCTTGGTGATAATGTCAGGGTCTAAAGCTGTCCAGTATCTCCAGGTAAGCATGATGACACGGGGATGAAGGGGACAGAGAGCACAGTCTCTCTCGGGTACATAACATAGCGCACTCACACACATGCACTTAATTCCTCCCTCTCAATCATTTCCTGAGTCTTCTGATTTCTATATGAGGTGCTTAATCTGGTATTCATCATGTCTCTGAGGTCCAGCCTTATTTAGGTCATGGTGGAGAGCGGTCCTCAGTTCACCCTTCTCCATGTCTATGTCGCTTCAGAGGTGGCACAATTCACCCTCAGCCCACTCAGACAGAGCTCTGATAGCATGATGGTTATGAATTGGGCTGCCAACCTCAAGGTTGGCAGTTCTAAACTACCAGCAGTTCCGCGGGAGAAAGAGGAGGTGTTCTGCTTCCATAAAGATTTACAGCCTCGGAAACCCTGTGCAGGGTCACTATGAATCAGAACCGATCTACAGTACTTAACAACAACAACAACCACTCAGACAGAGGTGGTTCTCAGAATCACTTTCAGCTGTCACCTTCGGGCCAATGCCGGTAATTTACTTCTCTATGTCTACTTGCAGGTTACTGGACCTGTTAGAATTAGTTCTTCTTTTCTTTTTTTAATCTGAACCAATGAAAAATTTATTTACGATAACTTATTTACTCACATTTTATAGTCAGTGATACTGGGGATACTCATGATCTTAAAATTGAGGATACTGATTGTGAAGTTGATGAAAAAAATGCCTTTAATCTACAAAATGCTTTTCAGTGTACAAAGTTCTCATATCTACAATAATTCAAAGGACCTCCAAAGGCAAAAATGACAGAGAACTCCCAGCACAATTAGAGACCCCACAGTCTCAACTGGATCCTCTCTGAATAAATTATTCCCTCTTTTGTCTCCCTTAATACACATGCACCAGCGCACATACATAGACTCCGAGGACTAAATTTTGCCCCCAAAATTTAGTATTTGCATGATCCCAAAATGAATGCAAAAATAAGGCTGAACAGTTATTCTAAAGCAAAAAAAAAAAAAAAAGGAGTTAAAACTTGGAGGGGTTTATTCAAGATGGAGCCCAGTTCAATATCATTCAGGCAATCTAAGGAGACAACTTTCCTTTTTACAAGAGTCTGGAATCCAGACTGTATCCTAACCAAAATGCTTCATGTACTTATACATATTTGCACACTTGCTAACATAACTATTAGCAAATCTCAGTGTCCCCTCAGGATATAAGGACAAACTGACAGAAATCCTCGGACTCTGTAGTTTTTAGAGCCTGGCTGTGTTTAAGCAGAATTCTCTTCTACTTTCTCTACATTAGAAACCAAACCAAAGCAGAATTTCTGATTTCCTTCTTCTGGGCTTCTCTGAGCAGTCGGAGCAGCATTCTTTGCTGTTCGGGCTCTTTTTGAGCATGTACTTGGTGACACTGTTGGGAAACCTGCTCATCGTCTTGGCCATCATCTCTGACACACATCTCCATACACCCATGTACTTCTTCCTGGCCAACCTGTCCTTCATTGATACCTGCTTTACTTGTACCATTGTTCCCAAGGTACTGGTGAACATTCAGACACAGCACCACACCATATCCTACACTGGTTGCCTTGTGCAGATGTACTTCTTCATGGCATTGACACTGCTGGATGACTTTCTGCTGGCCGTGATGGCATATGACCGCTACGTAGCCATCTGTCTTCCTCTCCACTACACCATGGTCATGCGGCCCCAACGTTGCCTGCTGCTGGTGGCTGTATCCTGGCTCTGCTCCCATCTTCTGGCCCTTACACTCATTCTCCTAATGACTCAATTCTCCTTCTGTGCCTCTCATTCAATCCCACACTTTTTCTGTGATCTCCTCCCACTCCTCAAGCTTGCCTGTTCCGACACCTATATCTTTCAGGTTCTGATGTTTATTGAAGCATCCCTCTCAGGTGTGGTCCCTCTCACCTGTGTCCTAGTCTCGTATGTCCACATCATCCACACCATCCTCAGGGCTCCCTCTGCTGAGGGGAAGCATAAAGTCTTTTCTACCTGTGGTTCTCATCTAACAGTGGTCACTCTCTTCTATGGAACACTCTTTCTCGTCTACTTTCAGCCATCATCCTCCTACTCAGCAAATACTGGAATGTTGGCATCTATAATATACACAATGGTCACCCCCATGTTGAACCCTTTTATCTACAGCCTGAGGAACAGGAATATGAAGGATGCATTGTGGAAACTCCTTGGCAGGGGAAAATGCTCTACTTGATAACAGGTCCTTCATTTGTAACATACATTTCTTCCTGGGCTTTTTCATTATAAATTTGAAAGGTTCTCATTCAAGGCAAGATGGATGCTTAGCGTCATAAGCAGGTTCAACAAAATGAAGGCTCTGACTTCGCAGGATAAAAATATTAGCAACTAGCAAAATAAAAGAACAAACAAACAAACAAAAAAACCCAGAAGCCCTGGTGTGGTGTTATGGGGTAAGCACTGGACTTCTAACCATAAGGTTGGTGATTCAAATCCACCAGCCACTCTTCAAAAACCCTATTCAGGGTAGCTATGAGTCAGAACCAACTCGACAGCACTTAACAACAACAACAACCATGGACAGAGCTGCAACTGAACAGGGGATTGATTGGCAATCCCTACAGAGTGACTAGTATACAAGACAATTTCGGGAGTGGTGAAGCACCAAAGTAATGATACCAACAAAACAGCAGAAGGAAGCGCGGTAGCAGCACAGGACAGGAGAAATTCTGTCAAAACTGGGAACATACCAGGAGCTTAGTCAAGTACACTGGGATTCAGAGACCAATTCTAAACCCAGCCTTGCAGGAAACTCATTCATAGGAATTGGCTTTAACCTAGAGGTTATGGTACCAAACTTGTACGTATTGCTTGAGAGAGCAATAATAATTTGATCTTTTAAAAAATCAAATCCTTCCTTTAAAAGAAACTGAATTTTTTACCTAAAGAAACTAAAAGCTAAGGCCCTTTTCTTCATGTATTTGTTTTACATTGTAAAGATGATTTCTCATTTAATCATATAGCATGATTATTTAGGTATTTTCAAAACCTCCATAAACATAAACGTTTGCATAATTAATATTACATTAAAAGCATGTGCCATGATTTATACACATGTTTCCATTTGGGTAATTAGGTTTTACTCATTATTTTTTACTAGTATAGATAAGGAAAAAATGAAAATTTTCATGAATAAACCATATATAAAAGTTTTCTCCCCATATAATAATTCTCATAATTGGAGATGCTGGGTGGACGAATTCTAAGACTCATGATATATGTTGCCAAAATATTTTATAAAACTATTCATGGTTTATATTCCAAACAACTATTTGTTTATTATGATTTGAATGTAAGTTTATGAAACAAATTAGTTTTCAATTCAACAATTATCTTAAAAATAAGATGCTGGATGCCTGTGTACTGTCATTCACTCAGATACAAACCATGTATTCCTTAAAGGAGACTTGGTAGCATAGTGGTGATGAATTGGGCTGCTGACCTCAAGGTCAGCAGTTCGAAACTACAAGCTGTTCCGTGGGAGAAAGATGAGGCTTTCTGCTCCCGTAAAGATTTACAGCCTCGGAAACCCTGTGCAGGGTTGCTATGAGTCACAACCGACTCCGCGGTACATAACCACCACCAGAGCCTTTTTTTACTCCTCTGTAACATCTTGCCTTCCCCAGACACACCCAAATTAAATTCCATGTCATCTTTAAAAAGTCCTCTCTTATACCATACCCTTTGACACCAGCCCACTCTAATGGACTATCTCTGTATCTGAAGGGGACCTCATGGCACAGTGGTTAAAGTGCTTGGCTGCTAACTGAAAAGTCAGTAGTTTGAAGCCATCAGTAGATCCATGGGAGAAAAGACCTAGCAATCTGCTGACATAAAGATTACAGCCTAGGAAACTCTCTGAGGCAGTTCTACTCTCTCCTATAGACTAGCCGTGTGTCAAAATTGACTTGACAGCAACCAACAACAACATCCGTTTATTTCTTTCTCTTTCTATTAATATCTAAAGAAAGTAAAGGAGACAATTCATGTAGGCAAGAACACTTTGGAATTCTATAGTCTCCTGTTCACTGCAAGGGATTTGATAGCTTGTTTGGTCGATTGTCTTCAATGGCCAGTCACCTTCAAATAAACACCCTTCTTCCTTCTTTTAGCCTAACATTTTAGTTTTTGTGAACCGACTTCACGGCACACAACAACAATAACATATGTTCCAAGGGAGTCCTGGTGTGGCTCTGTGGGTTAAATGTGCCAGACTGCAAAGCAGTTTGAGCTGCAAGGTTGGCAGTTCAAGCTCACCAGCTGCTCCTTGGAAACCTTATACAGGGTCACTACGGGTCGGAACCCACTCAGCAGCACTTTACAACAATAACATATATCCCAAGGGCCAGACCTTCCCCACCCATGGTCTAGATCAAGAATAAGATAAGGATTTTCACTCTTGCCTCTTGCAATTGACATTGTACTGGAGGTTCTAGCCAGGGAAATTTGGCACAAAAATGAAATAGAAGGCATCCAGGTTGGCAACAAAGAAGTAAAGCTTATCTCTTTTGGCAGATGACAAGATGATGTATTTTTTTATTCCTAAAAATTACACACAAACACACACACAAATTGGAACTAATCAACAATTCAGACTCAATGCAATCACTGTCAACATCTCTTGGCAGAAATGGACAAGGTAATTTTAGAATTTATATAGATACGCAAGGGACCCAAAATAGCCAAAACAATCTTGAAAAATGAACTGTACAATAATGTTCATTGCAGTATTATTCATAATAGCTAAAAGATATTGAACTCCTTAAGTTTCACTTTAGTAGTTAGAATGCAAAGGTGCAGCCTGTTTGCAAAACAGTCTAGCAGTTTCTAATAAAGTTGAATATACATTTTCCACATTAGCCAAAAATCTGACTCCTACCGGTTTACTTGAAAGAAGTAAAAGTATATGTCTACCCAAAGACCCTGTAAACTAATGTTTATAACATCTTTATTCATAATAGCCAAAAACTAAAAAAAACCAGAATGGCCATCAACTGGTAAATGAATAAACAAATCTGATATCCAATGAAACACTGTTGTTGTTAGGTGCCATCAAGTTGGTACAGACTCATAGCGACCCTATGCACAACAGAACAAAACACTGCCCAACCCTGGGCCAACCTTACAATTGTTGCCACGCTTGAGCCCATTGATACTGCCACTTTGCCAATCCATCTTTTTAGGGGTCTTCCTCTTTTTCGCTGACCCTCCACCTTACCAAACATAAGATCTTTCTCCAGTGAATGGTCCCTCTTGATAATATGTCCGAAGTATGAGAGACAAAGTTTGGCCATCCTGGCCTCCAAGTAGCACTCTGGCTGCACTATTTCCA